GGGGGGAGAAAGAGGTGGTGGGGAATGGGAGGGTGGGAGACAGTGTTGAATAATATTTTCAAAAATGGTTTTATTTTTTTTAAATATATGGATTACAGGGATTTTTTTCGAAAATTTACTGATTGTACGGATTTTTAAAAAAATGTGCGGATCTTTTCAAAAAAATGTACGGATTGTACGGATTTTTTTTTGGAAAATTGTACGGGTTGTACGGATTTTTTTTCGAAAATTGTACGGATTGTACGGATTTTTTCTGAAAATGTACGGATTTTTTTACGGATTTTTTCCGTGATATTCCCTTTAACATAATATTATGTTGATATTCCCTTTAAGATAATATGATATTGATATTTCCTTTAACATAATATCATGTTGATATTCCCTTTAACATAATATTATGCTGATATTCCCTTTAACATAATATTATGTTGATATCCCCTTTAACATAATATTATGTTGATATTTCCTTTAAGATAATAGAATGTTGGTATTCCCTTTAACATAATATTATGTTGATATTCCCTTTAAGACAATGTTATGTTGATATTTCCTTTAACATAATATCATGTTGATATTCCCTTCAAGATAATATTATGTTGATATTCCCTTTAAGACAATGTTATGTTGATATTTCCTTTAAGATAATATAATGTTGCTATTCTCTTTAAGATATTATTATGTTGATATTCCCTTTAAGATAATATTATGTTGATTATCACATTGAGATAATACAATGTTGGTATTCCCTTTAAGATAATAAAATGTTAATATTCCCTTTAACATAATGTTACGTTGATATTTCCTTTAAGATAATATTATGTTGATATTCCCTTTAAGATAATAAAATGTTAATATTCCCTTTGATATAATATTATGTTGATATTCGTCTTAAAGGAAGTGTCTGGCTAAACATGGTTGTTGAGCTGAGAGAATTTTTTTAGAAATCAGGCATGCGTGCCGTGCCACAACCTGCCTGGGGGGCTAGCGCTAGGAGGATTTCAAAGATTGATTTGCGTTGTTATTTAGCAATTATACACCGTAAAAACGTCTCAAGTGATTTCTAAAAATATTCTCTACAAAACTTCACTCTCAGCTCAACTACCAAGTATAACCAGGCACCCCCTTTAAGATAATATTTTCAGGAAAGACTGAGTTTAGGTGTTTGGACTGGTACTCTGGTCACACTAAACTACGGACTTAATCTTATAGAAAACTTCTCATTGCTAGGTACATTTGAGCGCTAGCTCAGACAAGGGGTATTTTTTTCAGGGAATTTCCCCCATTTTCAGGGGAACCGGGAAAATAAAGGACGTTTTGGGGGGAAAAGTATCTAAAAAGGATAAAATCTTTTTATGTCCTATTTTTCATTTGTTTCTCTACAAAAGTAACCTGCTCATTTCTACTGCAGGAAAAAACATTTAATGAATTATTAGAATTACCAACTTTGAAACCTAGAAAAATGACAATATCTTCCACTACATTGATCAGAAATAGGTTTCAAGTGTACCGTTGTGAATCGGGCATTTTCATATATATGCCCTTTAAGGTGAAGCTTAGACTCAAGCTCATTCCAACAAAAGCTAAAGCTACAGCTTTTTCTACCTTTTTTTCTAGCTCATTCTACCTTTTTTTCTAGCTCATTCTACCTTTTTTTCTAGCTCATTCTACCTTTTTTCTAGCTCATTCTACCTTTTTTTCTAGATCATTCTACCTTTTTTTCTAGATCATTCTACCTTTTTTTCTAGCTCATTCTAACTCTAGCTTAAGCTCAAACTCGCTCATCAAGCAGCTCAAGTTCAAGCTCAAGAAGAAGTCCAAAATTGAAATATAGCTTAAACTCTTACTCAAGCTTTTAGCTTAATCTTATTTAGTAACAATTATTTTAGGATTAAGTTTTATTGGATCCTCAGAGGTTTTCGAGGTTCATGCATTCTTCTTCATTCTCTTCTTATTCACATATATAGGTAGGAATTATAATCTTATTCACATATATAGGTAGGAATTATATTCTTATTAACATATATAGGTAGGAATTATATTCTTATTCACAAATATGGGTAGGAATTATATTCTTATTCACATATATAGGTAGGAATTATATTCTTATTAACATATATAGGTAGGAATTATATTCTTATTCACATATATGGGTAGGAATTATATTCGTATTCACATATATGGGTAGGAATTATATTCTTATTCACATGTATAAGTAGGAATTATATTCTTATTCACATATATGGGTAGGAATTATATTCGTATTCACATATATGGGTAGGAATTATGTTCTTATTCACATATATAAGTAGGAATTATATTCTTATTCACATATAAAGGAGGAATAGAACGCACAAAGACTTAAATCTTAAAAAGCCCAAATTTGTAAATTTTTGTTTTTAAAGAGGTGGTATATTTTAAAGCTAGTGTTTGTCCTGAAAACTTCATTTTAGCGTAATCACAAACAAAAATTTTGTTAACTTGTTTTCTTTATATGAAAGCGCTCTATAATTGTATGCAACTTTTGTAGAGTTATTTGTTCTAGTTTCAATGCTTTTACTGATGTGGTATCTTATACCTTACTGTGGGTTTCAGGTGTGTATACAATTAAATCCATTCATTAATTTATTCCTTGTATTTTTTTGCGTTGATTTAAGGTTCTTTGTTTGTTCACATGTTCATTGTTTTCAGTTTTTTATCTTGGTAATTCGTTTTTTAATTTCTTTATTTATTTATTTTTGCATTAGTTCATAGGTGCAAAAGTTAGTTTGTTTTTATGGTTTCATTTGTTTTTGTTCCATTTTTCATTTTTTTAAGTTTCTTCAATTGTTTACTTGAACATTTTTTATTGTTCATTTATGCCTTTGTAAATTTGATCGCTTGTTCATTTGTTAATTGGTTCATTTGATCATTTATTAATATTTTTCAATTTTTTTTCGGGTTATTTGTTTATCATTTCTTTTTTTTATTCATTAATTAATTTTCATAAAAATGAAAATGTTATTTCATTCGTAAATGAATGGATTTATCAATAAATTGGTTCGGGTATCTCGCTATGCCCTGGAAACTAAACTTTCTGTACAGAAATCAACCCACGCAAACTTAGAATTTTTTTAAACCAAGCCAAGAACATTTCGTTGTTCTATTGAGTTCCCCAATACAAACTTATGGCAAATCGGTCAAGGGGTTCATGAGTTATGATCGGACAGACAAATAAAGATACATTACTTTATAGTTCAGACAACTTAATTTCATAATTTCGAATTGTTGTAGATGAGGAGTAGGGATGAAATGAAAGCCCTTGTTGAGAAGAAAAAAATTGTCAAGCTTACAATAGCAAGGTATAATATCCGTATCCCCTAGGTTCGGATCTTGACCAATTTCATAATACGGATCCGTTTGATTCCGTAATCCAATCCGGTAAAAAGAGGCCTCAGAATTAAATTTTATTATCTTTAAAAAGAAAAAACAATAATTATGCTTATTTTTAATCTCTTTAGTTTTTCACCAACCAAATATTTCATCACAAATTGTTCCTGTGCTTATAAACAACTAGTTTAACTGAACAAACATTTTATTAGAATTTTAATTTACACATTTTTCAGGTTTATTGATTTTCTAAAAAAATATTTTCCCACATTTAGAACCGGTTCTTTTTGCGCAGAGAGGCAAACATTGTATAGGAGTTCTTATCTAATTGGGGCAAATGTAATGGAAAGTTTGTGATAAAAGTATCAGAGGGGTGGTGGACTTAACAGAAGGAGTTAGTCATTCATTCATTCATTCATATTTTTATTCAACTACAAAGCATGAGATATTACAAATAAGCAATCACAGTTTACTATGCAGTTTTGACCCGCCTAACCGGGGTAGGTTGTTTTAAGTGGTTGGCCCGAAGTTAGTTAAATATACTGAATATAATAAGATTAGAAGGAAGGAGATTGTCAGGTGATCTGTGGCAGAGTGAGATCAGAGGGGTTAATGTAGAGATAAATTAAAATACAGGGTGTTTAGGATGGTGGATACACAAACACAAATAAGCTTATAAAGTTTCAATTTTTTTTAGTTTTTTTATATATTCACACGATTTTCGCATTTTTATCTTATTCCCAAAATTATCCAAATTGTTTAAGATGTTTAATTTTATTTCAATTTTAATTCAGTTCTGTGTTGGCGCTGTATTTCTACTGGAGGCATAATGAATATTGTGAACCCTATGTTTACTCATTATTTGGAGGTGCATTCTTACTTTACTGCTCATTTATTAATTACATTTTCATTTCAAGCTCTCTTTTACATTTTTTTTTACATTATTTGGAGGTACATTCTTACTTTACTGCTCATTTATTAATTACATTTCCATTTCAAGCTCTCTTTTACATTTTTTTTACATTATTTGGAGGTACTTTCTTACTTTACTGCTCATTTATTAATTACATTTTCATTTCAAGCTCTCTTTTACATTTTTTACATTATTTGGACTTTGGAGGTACATTCTTACTTTACTGCTCATTTGTTAATTACATTTTCATTTCAAGCTCTCTTTTACATTTTTTACATTATTTGGAGGTACATTCTTAATTTACTGTTCATTTATTAAATACATTTTCATTTTTGCCAAATACCATAATCCTATTTTTCGATTATATCTTCGTGAAAGCTAATATTTTTTCACTTTTTATTCCTACAATCCCTTTTTCACTTTTTACTCCTACAATCCCTTTTTCACTCTTGTATTTTTAAGCCAACAGCTCCTTTCATTTTTGTGTTTGAGTTTATTTTGATCCTACAGTCCCTTTAATTTCAGTATTTGTGTTTATTTTGATCCTACAGTCCCTTTAATTTCAGTATTTGTGTTTATTTTGATCCTACAGTCCCTTTAATTTCAGTATTTGAGTATATTCTGATCCTACAGTCCCTTTAATTTCAGTATTTGAGTATATTCTGATCCTACAGTCCCTTTAATTTCAGTATTTGAGTATATTCTGATCCTACAGTAGCTTTAATTTCATTATTTGCTTATATTTTGATCCTATAGTCCCTTTAGTTTCAGTATTTGAGTATATTCTGATCCTACAGTCACTTTAATTTCAGTATTTGAGTATATTCTGATCCTACAGTGCCTTTAATTTCAGTATTTTTTTATATTCTGATCCTACAGTCCCTTTAATTTCAGTATTTCAGCATATTCTGATCCTACAGTCCCTTTAATTTCAGTATTTCAGTATATTCTGATCCTACAGTCCCTTTAATTTCAGTATTTGAGTATGTCTTGATCCTGGGTAACATGTACTACCACGCTCTCTCAAGATTAGACTTCGCTGATTGGACGGTATCTGTTGGACCAACCAATATTCCTAAATAGACGCATTCTCATTGGTCAGATTCTCATTTACCCAAGCTCTCGTGTTCTGATTGGTCAAGACCCTTCAATAATGAGAAAAAAGAAATCCTTTTGCTGCAAAAACGCATTCCCGCATGAAAAATGTACAACTGGTTTTAAAACTTGGAAAAATTGAGCAATTAGCAAAATTCACATTGAATTTCATAACAAGCAAATGGTATCAGTGGAAATTTTATAGGGCCATTTACACCATATCATTGTGCACCCCTATCCATAGAGCAGGGCCATCTACACCATATCATTGTGCACCCCTATCCATAGAGTTGGGCCATTTACACCATATCATGGTGCACTTCTATCCATAGAGCAGGGCCATTTACACCATAAAATGGTGCACCTCTATCCATAGAGCTGGGCCATTTACACCATATCGTGGTGCACCTCTATCCATTGAGGGCACTCTTTGAATCTAATACAATGAGGAAGATATCGTCGATTTTCTGTCTGAAAAGAGTCTTTTGCGGTATAAGTCACTTCTATTGAAACCTCAATTAAAAATTATTAATTTTTCAAATAGAAAGCGATATCTTTCTTATTATTGCCTAGAAGGTTCAAAGGCTACCGTTGTATATCGGTAATGCTCATTTTTAACTAGAGGGTCACTTGTAATTACATCGAAAGTTTACAAAACCAAAAAATATACAGAAAATTCAGTTGTAATTTATTCTCCTTTCTAATGATAAATATTTATACGATTGATAAATAAAACTAAAATGTGATTAAGTACGTTAGTATTTATTTATTAAAGAAATGAAGAAATGTGTTTACAAGGCTATCACGTGTGTACTGTACTGTACTGTACTGTACTGTAGTGCAATTTTTCCCATGTTTATTTATTTTGACAATTACAATATAATTTATAACATAAAGTATTTATTTAAATCATTATCAATCTAACTTGTTTCCTATCAAGGTGCAATTATGTGTTTCTAAAATTGATATTGTTAATGTTACTGTTCAGATTATTTACTTTCTTCTTCTTGTCAAATTTAAATGTTAAAAAGTATAACGAAATGTAACCTGTGATTTTTGTGATTAATAAAGTCTGGTTTGATTGTACAGACTAATGATAATTGACTATTGACTATTCTTTTTCAGAAAATCAAGATGGTGAACAATGATACTTGGCCCGGCTTTTATCCAAAGGAAAAGCTGAAAAAACTTTCGCGGATTCGTGCACTTTTGAAGCTGGATCCGATATCATGTCTTGAAGAAGAGAAACGTTTACAAGAATCTATGATCATAGAAAACATCGAAGATGACATTAAAATAGAAGCTAAAAATGGCGACACTGCCGAGGAAATAATATTAATAGATGAAGAAATGACTGAGATTAAACCGAACAATATCAAATTAATTGATGACAAAAGTTTTTTAGAAACTGAAGGAAAAATTAGATTCTATTATATATTTTGAGAGTAGGATGTTTGTGTACGTTTTTTATGTTCAAATGGTGGTTAAAATGAGAGAGGGGGGTGCTGGTTATGAAGCTAAGAAAAGGCTTATTTGCATTTAGGGTTGGGGTTAGGATACATAAGTTTTTGTTGTCCGGTGGGGGGGGGGGGGTAGAACTTCTCTTTTGTGCTGGAAATAGTTGACTTAATCATTAGAATTCGATTTTTTTTGAAGATTTAGAACCTTTAGCGTCTGCAGAAAAGAGGATAAAACTAGACGATAACGGTAATATTTATTTGCTTCATAAATAAAATTTTTTTATTTCCATCTTTTTCTAGATTCGCCGAAGTTGGATTTAGAGGCCCTTGTTTCTAAATTTATTTACTCATTAAGGAATACTCATATTTATGCATCTAAAATTGTTTGTGCCTTTTTTGCAGAGGATATGCGCTTCTGTACTTTTATGGCACTTAGCTACTAGAAATGAAAGATTGATGAAATTCTTGTAATTTTATTTTTACACCATTATTTCTTTTTTGTCGCGGATTTTCCTGTTTTCCCATTGGTGGACTTTCAAACATTTTAAGGAGTATGAGTACTGTAGAGAGTTTGAGCCTCTAACGGATATTCTTGTACAGATTGGAGATCTAAATCAGGAGGAGCGGAAACTGGTATAAACATTTGTATTACATTAAGGACCCCCAGTAAACATTAGAAATAACTGGATTTTAAAATCGTCTATGATAATATAGTTTTTGTGACCAAAAACGGGGCAGAAGCCCAAGGATGTTACGTGCGCATGCCGTGTTGAATTACAAGACAGAGAGTTTTTTTCCAGCCGCGGCGCTCGGCCCCCCAACCTGTCCTAGCCGCAGCGCTCGGCCCAGAAAGTGTCTTAAATCTGACCCAACCGTAAAATATATATTTATCTCTCTCTCTAAATTTAACGCGGTAAGCGCGTGTAACTTCCTTGGGCAACTGCCCAAAAAATTTTAACTAAATTAACCCCAAAATTGTGAAAGGGAAATGTTTTTTTAAATATTGGTTTGAGTAATAAGAATATAGCAAACCATTTAAAAGTCTAGCTATATTATTTAAACTACTTTTCTAGTGTATATCGGTCACACTAGAAAAGGAGATAATTTATCCTTTTTTATTAATTTCTACCTCTGTATACTGACTTACATTGTTTTAGTTTGAGCAGAGTTTAATTAAGAATATGATTGGATCTTTTCTAGAGAAGGTAATTTTAAATTTTTTTTATTTTCCGACCCATTTGTTTTAATTTAAACTAGTAATGTTGTTTACCTTATTTAAATTATATAGTCTTTGTAATATCTTTACGAACAATTACTTACATCATCTATGATATGGATATTTCAAATCATCAATTAGTCAATTTTTGAAGTATGAAAGGTTTACACCATCAAGATGCAAAGATATAGAGAGTAGAAAATTAGTGTTTGAGTAAGTGGCTCCATTAATTTTGTTTTCTTCACTGTTCTAACTTCACAAGTGAGTAAATACTAAAATGCGATGATCATGTTGTTTTCTTCAGATTTTAAAATAAATGCCACGCTATTTCATTAAATGTTTCTTAAAATACTTATCATACTCTGATAATTCTAATCAAGATTCTATGATTAGTTTACTGATTGCGTAACCGGCGGTCTGAAAGAAACCGTCGCCGTATTAAAATTTGTAATCTTTCATAAATAGTATTCATGAGCTTTTTTTTCTTTGTGTCTCTGAATTTAATAGAGCTGGGAACTTTTGAATGGTGGATATCGGGATTAATGCTTGATCCACTCTTTTTCTTAATCTTGAGATTAAATAATGCTTGTCATCATTTTGTTATGAATTTCTAGATTAATTAACCGATCGGGATTAAGGATATCTTATTCTAAAGTTCCCAGCATAGGACTATCTACGCAATTTATATAAAGAGTCACTTTCCTGACCGCAACTATACTGTATAGTAAACCTTTGAAGAATTAATTAAAAGTGAAGATATTCTTGTTTGTTTTTTAACTAAACATACGTCCAATTATTCATGAAGGAAGGAAATTGATAATATTCATCACTTATTAAATTAGAAAAACGATGATAGGCCATAGGGTACCATTTTGCATAGCGGAGGATTACTTGAAATTACGTCTACTGTTCCTTTAAGATTGGTGAAGCTTGTACAAGATGGCGGATACTGGAGGAACACGTGTTTCTTACTTTACTTGAGTTGTTGCAGCAGCTAGGGATAGAAGAAAACAATTTGTTGGTTAATTTTATTTTTATTCCTTTTTCTCACAATAGTTTCATTTTAAAACAATGTTAATTGTTTAATATACACCAAGTTAAACAGTTTTATGGCCAATTTTAGAAAAATTTGTTGATCCTTTTTGAAGTGGATTCAACGCTGGGGGAGGGGGGATATTTTGCCAGAACTCTGAGTTTCTTAATGTTTATTGTCTATTGTTCTTTCTATCTATAAACTAATCTTTATATCTAAACTTAGACTAATCTATATCTATCTATAAACTAATCTATATCTATATATAACCTAATCTATATCTATATCTGAACTAATCTATATCTATATATAAACTAATCTTTATCTATCTAAAACCTAATCTATATATCTAAACTAATCTATATATCTAAACTAATCTATATATCTAAACTAATCTATATCTATATATAAACTAATCTATATCTATCTATAAACTAATTTATATCTATCTATTAACTAATCTATATATCCAAACTAGCCACTAACTTATCTATCCATTTATCTATCTATCCATCTCGGCATTTATCCATCTATCTATCTAGTAATTTAGCCATAGATCCACCCTTTTGTCTATATTTCTTATCTATTTATCTATAAACTAATCTATCTATCTCTATCCTGATAATAGTTGAAAAGATTGAATATATTCCTGGTAACATAGAAGATGTTTACAGATCACTAATTATCTTTCTATCTATCTATATAATTATATATCTATCTATCCATCTATCTATCTATCCTGATAATAGTTGAAAAGATTGAATATATTCCTGGTGACGTAGAAGGTGTTTACAGATCACTAATTACCTCTTATCCACAGGGATGTGAACCATGATCTTTGATAACCTTTGTCCTACAAATTTTAACAACAACAAAGACAGTTTTAATATTTATTATGATTTGATGTAAATTTATATTTTGGATAATTTTATACTACTTTTCAGATCAATTTTTTTTTAACTCCTACTTTCCTCTCTTAGATTTCCGTTAGCTGTATTCAATTTTCTTGTTTGGTCCAATCCTATTTTTAACTCCTACTTTCCTCTCTTAGATTTCCGTTAGCTGTATTCAATTTTCTTGTTTGGTCCAATCCTATTCGTTCTTCTGACCAATGAAAATCGAGTTAAAGTTTATCCGGTCCTTTTATTAGTTTCAAGGCTCCGGGTTTCCTTTGATTCACTTCCGTCTTTACTGATTAGCTGAAGAATTGCATTCTGGACTCTATATTTACTCTTACCAGGTGAATTTAAATGGAGTGTTCCCTTTTTTGGATTTTTATGTTGATTTTCAAATATGGAAATGATTCCTTTTATCTGCAACTTTTTTAACAATTATTGTAAATTGCAGTTCAAATATGTAATAAAGGACAGAGATTTTCTTTACTGTTAATATTTTTATGGAATAACAAAATTAATATTATTTATTTTATTTAATATTTTAGAGGGTTCGACATTTTAGAAGCATTGATAGAGAGCAATGAATTTAGTAAGGTATTTTTTTTATGAAAATGTTTTCTGATAAACCGGCTATTTAATGATTACATTAGAGTAAAAAGGTGATATTTGGAATAACAATTATTTACGTTTTCTTCAAAATATTGTTAATCAGTTTTTTATCGTGTCTGATCAAGCATATATATATTTAACTCTTAACTAAAAATTTCATTATTTTAATTGAGGTTTCCTTATAAAAGTTAATTGCGCATTTCTTATGCAGGTATTGTAGTTGGAAATTATCATAATTAAACACTTTTCAAAAACTATGATATCTTCCCCCATTATTGAGCAGATTAACTAGTATTGTTGTGGTATTTCACTTAAAAATACAACGACAGTCTGTATATAATAAGGGTATGAAATTTTTTTGAAACAATTTTACAGAAGCAAAAAAATATTCTACTAGGAATATTAAAACAAAAAAATCAAAAATTTGCCCCTCAAATTGGGGTTAATATTTAAAAAGTCACTAGTAAATAAGTGAAAATGAAAATTTTAAAATACTTATTGAATTAGGTATCATTAGAACCGAATTGAATTTCTGAATTCAAATCAATTTATAGAATCGAAAAATATTGAAATTTGAGGTAATTGTAAGGTCAAAAAAGACTTTTTTTAGTTTTAGTACTATAATGAAATTTATTCAAAGAAAAAATAAATTTTTGACCATAACTTGCCCAATTTTCAATATTTTTCAATTCTGTAAATTGTTTTGAACTCCAGTTTTCAAGCTGGTTCAATGGATACCCATATTATTAAGATTGTCAAATTTTTCATTTTCGCTAACACTAGTGATTTTTTTTAGCATTAAAACCCATTTTTGAATTTTGTGAAAATGTATTTTATAAACATGCCTTAGAATTCTAAGTGGAATACTATTTTGCTTCTGTAAAATGATTTAGAAAAGTTTCACTAGATTTCACACCCCTACTATATAAGTCCCCTTTTCTTGTTTCGTCCCCGTTTTACACAATTTAACGGAGAGAACATTCTCATACAGGACGAGGTAATAGCTGGACTTATCTTTATATATAGAGATAGGAAATTCACCGCGGCACATACAGGAAACATTTTCTGGAAAATAATTATTTTTTTTATATATTTTCAATAATTTCACTTTTTTACGATTTTTAAAGTTATACGAGGGTGGAACTTTTAAACTGTTAATTCCTTCTTGAAGAACTACGGATTAACTGAATAACTTCTTGATATCTCTAATCGTCAAATGAAAAGGGATGTCAATTTCGGTATAGAGAAGCGCTTTTCTTGCTCAAGTCCTGAAATATACTGATGAACATGATAAATATACAAATCCTAAGGCAGAAATTATAAATGAATGTTAAGTTGTCTAGTCGCTTATTCTGGAAGTTAGTTTAGCAATCAAGTTTAACACCGTAAATCAGGGAAGGTTGTCCCCTGATGTACGGTGTTAAACTTGTTAAAAGTTTTCCCAGTTGATATTGAATTTAGCGCAATTATTTTAATTCACAAGTTTCGCCCTCTGATTACTTTTATTGGAGGCTATTATATCTTAATATTTTGTAAATTCAATTTGATTTGATTGACTTGATTTTAAACTTGATTTTAAACTTGATTTTAAACTTGATTTTAAACTTGATTTTAAACTTGATTTTAAACTTGATTTTAAACTTGATTTTAAGCTTGATTTTAAACTTGATTTTTAACTTGATTTTAAGCTTGATTTTAAGCTTGATTTTAAACTTGATTTTAAACTTGATTTTAAACTTGATTTCAAACTTGATTTCAAACTCGATTTCAAACTTGATTTTAAGCTTGATTTTAAACTTGATTTTAAGCTTGATTTTAAACTTGATTTTAACTTGATTTTAAACTTGAATTTAACTTGATTTTAAACTTGAATTTTACTTGATTATAAACTTGAATTTAACTTGATTTTAAACTTGAATTTAGCTTGATTTTAAACTTGAATTTATCTTGATTTTAAACTTGAATTTAACTTGATTTCAAACTTGAATTTAACTTGATTTAAAACTTGATTTGATTTAATTTTAAACTTGATTGATTTTTTTTCTTATAAAAATGTGATTGAGTTTATTCTAAAGAAATGTTTGGTAGGCATTGTAGAGAGTATGCTCCGTGGTAGTTTAAACCCTTGTCCCCAACTTGATCAACTTATATCTACAATATTTCAGGAACAAACAGATTCTCGAAGTTTTTTATATTTTATATATTCTTGAAATGTCTTGGGGTCCATTCCATCATGATCCGGATCCTGGATCCGTCCTCTGAAAAATTTTTGCAATTATCTTTTTTTAGAAATATTGGGTATTTATGCCGGTCTATTTTTAAAAATTACATGCCCGAATTTCAACGTTAACCATTAACCCTTTCGTCTAAACCAAAATTATGGAGATAGTCTAAGAAGGAAACTACTGCTTTTATAGACAGAAATGAACAACATCTTCCTCTTTTAAAATTCGGTGATGGAGATGGACCAAACCTCTGTAAAGAAAATAAAAGTAGATGTTAGTTCCACATTAACTGAAAATATATTTCGGTCTGGGTTGACCCTCGTCAGTTCTTCAGATTGTTTCTGTCACAAAGATTAAAAACAAACTCACTGTTCCTCAAATAAAAGTTTTAAGGGAACTCCTTTTAATAGCGACTGGGGTGACTTGAAATCATGTCAACAATAATTTTTTGATTTAAAATAATAAAAGAGTAAATCACAATAATGAAAATAGGTTATTCGTGGCGTGATAGCGAAGTTGGTATTGTGCATAGTACTTGTATTATATACCGGCTCACATCAAATTTATTGCGTAGTTTCGTCGAACAAGTCTCTGTTTTCAAGCAAATTAAACTTTATTTTGGAGATATTTTAGCAAGCCAACCAGTAAGTGTATCTTATGTCTTGTGCCAATCTTTTACACTTATTGTAAAAATCTATAACGGCTTTTTAAAAAAAAATCTGATTGTCTGTCTAGGCTATTAACAGAAATAAAAGTTGCAATAAATGCCTTACTACTTCTAAATTCAGGGATACTATTCTACATCTGAAAATAACCTAAATCAAAGTTTTGAATTTTAAAATAATCAAATACCTTTAATCGAATGTATAAATGAATAAATAAATGTATGTAGCAGTGAATTAGCAAATGTTTAAATGAATGAATGCAATAATGTAAGAATGAATGAATATACATATATTAGTATAAATATCCTGGCCCGTGTTGAAAAGCTAAATACTATGGCTTCAGTCCAGCTTGAAATCTATATTAAACAGAATAAAACTTTTCTTAGGTAGCATTTTTATTATATTATGAGTATCCTTGTTCTTGTTCTTGTTCTTGTTCTTGTTCTTGTTTTTGTTCTTGTTCTTGTTGTTGTAGTATTATTGTTATTGTTCTTGTTCTTTTTGATCTTGTTGATCTTGTTGATCTTGTTGATCTTGTTGATTTTGTTGTTCTTGTTGATCTTCTTGTTCTTGTTCTTGTTTTTGTTCTTGTTCTTGTTCTTGTTCTTGTTCTTGTTCTTGTTCTCGGTCTTGTTCTTGTTCTTCTTGTTTTTGTTCTTCTTGTTTTTGTTCTTGTTCTTCTTGTTTTTGTTCTTGTTCTTGTTGAGCTTGTTGATCTTGTTTTTCTTGTTGATCTTGTTGTTTTTGTTGTTTTTGTTCTTGTTCTTGTTCTTGTTGTTCTTGTTCTTATTCTTGTTTATTTTGCTCTTCTTGTAATTGTTTCTTTTGTTGTTGCTCTTGTTCTTCATGTTCTTCTTGTTCTTGTTGTTTTTGTTCTTCTTGTTCTTGTTGTTTTTGTTGTTCTTGTTGTTTTTGTTGTTCTCGTTCTTGCTTTTGTTATTTTAATTTTAAACTTTATAATTATCATCATGTTTAGGTCCAAACTTCTGAAGCAATATGAAAAATTAAGGACTGAGACAGAATCAGAAGTTCAAGTTCAACCATTAGAAGCAAACACGATAGATCTTTGATTGATTTTAAAAACTGTGATACCTTCCATTAAGTTAAACATTTTCAAGTCACCCAACCATTAAAAAAATATCCCCACACTGCAAAAGGGGAAACTTTGTTATTAGGTAATTTCTTCAGAAGTACTAACTGGTCCCCTTCCCCTCCTTATTACACAACATTACCTAACATAGAATAGTGAAGTGAATGGACGTCTACATGGGGG